GTGGCTCAAAATTCTTTCGAATTCAGTCAATCGGAAATCAATCAATGATATTAGAATGAGGAATAGGGGTTTCCCTTTGAGAGAGACGACACCGTTGTTATCCCACGTGACGGGAAAACCACCAACTGCAAAATAATCATAAATTTTTAAACAGCTTGGTCTTTATAGTTTTGGGGACCACAGAAGCTAATTGCTGCTGAGGGCCGAAGTAGGGTTGGATTCTCTTTTCGTCTTTGTCACTTGAAACATGGCTATTTCGAGAGAGAGGGGCTTGTTTACTCTCGGAAAAATGCGGTAGCTTGAAGCGCCTCATTGTTTTTTTCCATTTTTCAGAGTCGTCACGTACTGTTTGCGCAAAATGTAGTTCATTTCCTTGTCTAGTGCACTCATTTGAGTATGGGAGACAGAGGGAGGGGGGTCATTCAACTCGCCACACTGTCGTGGGGACGAGAATCATTTTTTTGACGTGATTCATTTGAAAAGGCTAGGCAGTACGGAAGCAACAATCGAAAGAAAAAGGGGGAGGAAGGCACCCCCTTTTCTGAACAAGATGTTTTTTTTTGGCTTTCCAACCCTCACCCTTTTGTACAAAACGGCGAAAGTCCGTGCGGTACCGTTTGAGTTTTGACTTTTGCGCCGGACTGGGGGGATGTTCCCAAGAAGGAGATTGTCAATGATCTCACAAATAGCGAAAATGATCGCTTTATCTGATTCACGCAGAATCGCTTTACGGAGGTTAGGTTTGGCCGACTGAAGGACTTGCAGGACAGCACGATGTGACTGCACCCTGGGACCATCATTTAGAAATGTTTAAAACCACCCCTTCGAGGTCCCTTTTATACTTTGCTTTGGGAATGTAAATGACACTGACTCGTCGGGAAAAAATCTTGGTTCTGATTCTGAGGTGGCCCAAATTGACGGGGTGAAAATCGAACAGAATGTAAAAATGACCGGCTTTGTTGCGTCTTGATACGCTTCAAGAAGAGCTTTCCATGCGGGGGGTCAACTTGCAAGCAAAATGTTCTTATTTGGGCCAAGTCCGCGAAGTTTTAAATAAAAAATGTAGTGGGAGTTCAAACTAATTTGTCTGAGCCCGTCAGGGAATAGTGCTTGACTCAAAAAAAAAATGGACAAATTTTTGTGGTGTGAACCCTTTATAAAAAATTTTAAAGGGGTTCTTTACCATGAGACTTAATTTCTTCCAAAAATCATCAATAATCCCAAATTTTGGGCCCTCGCCTGTTGGGTGATCACTCATTAAAGGTAATTCTTGTCGAAAAACGACACATGAAGACAACTCTTCGTAGAGTGGTTGCCATTCAGAAAAATAGAATATAATTTTTTAAAGACAGTGTCAAACCATTTTCTCTGTTTTCGATCAGTTTTTTCATGAAAAATGTCTTTCCCGCCCCAGTACCGCCCACGATGAGAGCAGTGCAAGGATGCTTGTACTTCAGATCCATTTCAGAAGTCATTGTGCAATGAATTGAAAATCAAAATGAATTGTCTTTTATAGGTTATGGGGCCCGACCAGCTCCCCTGCTCCGGTGTCTCGTAGATTTAGGGCGGTTTAAGGACATGCTGGTCCAGCCGACTGACCACCTGTGAACCAGGAAAAATCGGATTAATCTTTATTTGCTTTAAGCGATTATTTTATTAGTTTTTATTTGATTTTCTGTATTATTCACTGTGGTATAATGCTGTTTAAGGACATGCTGGTCCGACCGGTCTGCCATCGGTCCACGGGAGTCACCCAAAGTTGCTTTATCGAAGATTTAGTGCTTTTTAAGGACATGCTGGTCCAGCAGACTGACCATCAGCGAACTTTTTTTCAACTGGATGGTCCATGCTGTTTAAGGACATGCTGGTCCGTCCGGTCTGCTAGCGGAAGTCTCACTGGCGAGGTGAAACCTAAGTCTAAAGGAGGGCACTTCATACCTACTGATTGGCCCAATGGAACAAAAGCCATAGCCCTATGCGCTTGGCATTTTTAGCAGCGCAGGTAAGCTTAGGGTTTAACAAGTGAGTCTCTGCGTTGCAAGGAGCCCACAGGGGGAATTTTTTTAAGGGGGGGGCACCCTAAAGATCGGGGTTGTAGACAGTAAGGTGGGGAAAGAAGCCCCTGCAGTAACTTTCTTTTTTGATGCCTTTCACGTAGAGGACGTTAAAATGAGCGTCTTTTGCCACATCGTCTCTTCGAGAGATCATAGGCACTAAGCCCAGATTCCCATGGCATTCCATGGATATTTGTGACCAAAAATTTTTGGCTTTACACCTCACAGGAAAAAGGAGAAGGACAGGGTGGGGCAAATGTGACCACCTTAAACTCGTCTGTTGGAGATTTCCAAACAGACGAGTTTAAGGTGGTCACATTTGCCCCACCCTGTCCTTCATCCTTTCTCCCTGATGAGGTTGTAAAGCACAACAATTATGTGGTCACAAATATCCATGGAATGCCATGGGAATCTGGGCTTAGTGCCTATGAGTCTCTTGAAGAGACGATGTGGCAAATGACGTCTCATTTGAACGTCCTCTACGTGAAAGGCAGTCAAAAAAGAAAGTTACTGCAGGGGCTTCTTCCCCACCTTACTGTCTACAACCCTGAGTCTTTAGGGTGCCCCCCACTTAAAAAACTTCCTCAGCTGTGGGCTCCTTGCAACGCGGAGACTCACTTGTTAAACCCTAAGCTTACCTGCGCTGCTAAAAATGCCAAGCGCATAGGGCTATGGCTTTTGTTCCATTGGGCAAATCAGTAGGTATGAAGTGCCCTCCTTTAGACTTAAGTTTCACCTCGCCAGTGAGACTTCCGCTAGCAGACCGGACGGACCAGCATGTCCTTAAACAGCATGGACCATCCAGTTGAAAAAAAGTTCACTGATGGTCAGTCTGCTGGACCAGCATGTCCTTAAAAAGCACTAAATCTTCGATAAAGCAACTTTGGGTGGCTCCCGTGGACCGATGGCAGACCGGTCGGACCAGCATGTCCTTAAACAGCATTATACCACAGTGAATAATACAGAAAATCAAATAAAAACTAATAAAATAATCGCTTAAAGCAAATAAAGATTAATCCGATTTTTCCTGGTTCACAGGTGGTCAGTCGGCTGGACCAGCATGTCCTTAAACCGCCCTAAATCTACGAGACACCGGAGCAGGGGAGCTGGTCGGGCCCCATAACCTATAAAAGACAATTCATTTTGATTTTCAATTCATTGCACAATGACTTCTGAAATGGATCTGAAGTACAAGCATCCTTGCACTGCTCTCATCGTGGGCGGTACTGGGGCGGGAAAGACATTTTTCATGAAAAAACTGATCGAAAACAGAGAAAATGTGTTTGACACTGTCTTTGAAAAGATTATATTCTACTTTTCTGAATGGCAACCACTCTACGAAGAGTTGTCTTCATGTGTCGATTTTCGACAAGAATTACCTTTAATGAGTGATCACCCAACAGGCGAGGGTCCAAAATTGGTGATTATTGATGATTTTTTGGAAGAAATTAAGTCTCATGGTAAAGAACTCCTTAAATTTTTTATAAAGGGTTCACACCACAGAAATTTGTCCATTTTCTTTTTGAGTCAAGCACTATTCCCTGACGGGCTCAGACAAATTAGTTTGAACTCCCACTACATTATTTTATTTAAAACTTCGCGAGACTTGGCCCAAATAAGAACATTTTGCTTGCAAGTTGACCCCCTGCACTGGAAAGCTCTTCTTGAAGCGTATCAAGACGCAACACAAGCCGGTCATTCTTACATTCTGTTCGATTTTCATCCCCGTCAATTGGACCACCTCAGAATCAGAACCAAGATTTTTCCTGACGAGTCATGTGTCATTTACATTCCCAAAGCAAAGTATAAAAGGGACCTCGAAGGGATGGTTTAATCATTGCTAAATGATGGCTCCCAGGGTGCAGTCACATCGTGCTGTCCTGCAAGTCCTTCAGTCGGCCAAACCTAACCTCCGTAAAGCGATTCTGCGTGAATCAGATAAAGCGATCATTTTCGCTATTTGTGAGATCATTGACAATCTCCTTCTTGGGAACATACCCCTCAGTCCGGCGCAAAAGTCAAAACTCAAGCGGTACCGCACGGACTTTCGCCGTTTAGTACAAAAGGGTGAGGGTTGGAAAGCCAAAAAAGAACATCTTGTTCAGAAAGGAGGTGCCTTCCTCCCCTTGTTACTTTCGATTGTTGCTTCCGTACTGCCTAGCCTTTTCAAATGAATCACGTCAAAAAGATGATTCTCGTCCCACACGACAGTGTGGCGAGATTGAATGACCCCTCTCCCTCTGTCTCCCATACTCAAATGAGTGCACTAGACAAGGAAATGAACTACATTTTGCGCAAACAGTACGCTGACGACTCTGAAAAATGGAAAAAATACAATGAGGCGCTTCAACGCTACCTGCATTTTTCCCGAGAGTCAAACAAGCCCATCTCTCTCGAAATAGCCACTGTTTCAAGTGACAAAGACGAAAAAGAGAATCCTAACCCTACTTCGGCCATCAGACAGCAATTAGCTTCTGTGGTCCCCAAAACATATAAAGACCAAGCTGTTAAAATTCATGATTATTTAGCAGTGGTGGTTCTCCCGTCACGTGGGATAACAACGGTGTCGTCTCTCTCAAAGGAACCGCTATTCCTCATTCTAATATCATTGATTTGATTTCCGATCTGACTCGAATTCGAAAGAATTTTGAGCCACACGGCGTTACTCAGTTCATTCAAACCCTCGCCCAGTTAAACCTTCCTCTTGACTTGATTGGCAACGAAAAAAGAAGAACAGCTATTCTTCAAGCCAAACAGAGTGGTGGCAGTCTTCTTGTCACACAACCTCCGTTAAAAAAGGCCAAAACAGAAATAAAAACTGTAAAAGTTGTTCCCACCAAAAAACATGCCTGGAAAACTTGGTGATATTTTCCATGACCCCAAGCACCCCGCCTCCTACAGCTCGGCCTGGAAACTTTGGCAAGCCAGTGGGGAAAAGAAAGACAAAGTAGAAGATTATCTTCAGGGGGAAGACGCCTACACACTGCACAAACCTGCGAGACGGAATTTCCCTCGAAATGTCACTTATGCAGATAATATTGATGAATCCTGGCAAACTGATTTGACAGACTTGACGGCTCTGAAACAAGATAATAAAGGACACACATTTGTGTTATGTGTCATTGACGTGTTTTCAAAATTTGGGTGGGCCATTCCACTTAAAAATAAGTCTGCTCCCTCCATTGTCAGTGGGTTTGAAACTTTGTTCAAAACCACTCCGCGACGACCTGTTCGCCTTTTTTCAGACAAAGGAACTGAATACAAGAACAAACTTGTACAGCAGTTTCTAAAGAAACACAACATCACTTATATTTCCACGAATAACCCTGACATTAAATGCAGCATAGTAGAACGTTGGCAAAAAACAATTAAATCAAAATTGTTCAGATACTTCACTGCAACTGAAAATTATTGCTATGTGGATGGTACACTGGAAAAAATAGTGCATGCTTATAATCACACCTATCATAGATCTATTAAGATGAGGCCTGTGGATGTGACCGAAGACAAAGTACTGGAGGTATATAATAACCTGTACCATGGAATGAAACTTACAAACAAAAAAACGAAGTTTAAGGTAGGCGATTATGTCAGGATCAGCCGAGAGAAAAAAAAGTTCGAGAAAGGACATACCTGGAACTGGTCGGAGGAAATTTTTAAGGTCATTCAGGTCATTCCTCATGCGTTGCCGGTGTACAGGCTGGAGGATCTCGATAAGGATCCAATTGAGGGGACTTTTTATGACATGGAGCTACAAAAAGTCACGAAGCCGGAGGCCTTCAAAATCGCATATATAGTGCGATCAAAGGGGAAACAGAATAGTCGAAAGCACTTGGTGCACTGGAGAGGTTATCCTGAGAAAAGTCGTTCCTGGATTCTAGATTCAGACGTAGTCAAATCATAATGGATTTCTATGCCTTTCTTCCAAGTAATGCTAGCCCCGAAATATACCCCCTTAATAAAACATCCCATTTTAAAATAGAGCTCTCAAAGCGAATGGAGTTGCATGGCCAATGGCAGGCTGCTCTCATTGAGCTTCACTATCCAAACACGATCGCTCAAGTGATTGAAGGGGAAAACGAAATCACGTTACTGGCGCCTGGCTCTGTAGACACGGTTTTTGTCAAACCCGGCTGCTTTCCTTCTAAGTCCGATTTTCTTGAGGCAGTAAACATTGCGGTGTCGGTCCTCAACAATGACATTGAGGGTGACCCGCCACTGAGCGAAACGACTGATCGCCGTGTTGAGTTTCAGCCCTTCCAGCCGGAAAGACCAGATATGAAGGTCCACTTTTCCCCTCGCCTCGCATTGCAGCTCGGTTTGGACCACCACGGCCCTTATCCTGCAAACGAAAAAATTAGTGGCGTCAAGCCCGTTGAGTTGAGTTTGGGCATTCCATCACAACTCTTTATTTATATGGATATTTTGGCTGATCAGATCATAGGGCACACGAGGGCCCCCATACTCCGCACGGTCCCAGTAGATATAAATGCACGGTTCGGCAGCATGACTATTTTTCACTGCGAGCATCCGATTTATTTTGATATAAATACCCGTTCGTTTGACACGATCCAAATAGATATAAGGGACCACGCAGGGCGTTATCTCCCATTTGAACACGGGACGTTGACCTTACTGGTACACTTTAGACAGGTGTCTTAAGAAAAAAAATGGCTCCTCAAAACCAAATAACGAACCATTACGTCACCCAAGCCGGTGGCGGTTTAGGGCAATTTTACGCGGGTAGTTCCTTCCAGAAGGGTTACGGTATCGGTTCCTGGCTCGGCGGGCTTTTCCGTACTATTCTCCCCATTCTCCGGAGCGGTGCGTCGGCCGTGGGGAAGGAGGCGGCCCGGGCGGGAAGCGCGGTACTGGCCGATGTCGCGGGCGGTGCGAATTTCCGGGGAAGCATGAACAAACGCGTCGGGGAGGCCGCGGGCAACCTGGCCAACCAGGCCAAAAGGAAAGCTGACCAAATGGCAGGGTCTGGTGCTATAAAAAGGCGCAAACAAGCCCCTCAGGCTCATAACGTTCCGAAGTCTCGTATGAGAAAGACCGTCTCTAGTGCAGACTACTTTTCTTAGAGAAAAAAAATGGCATTTATGCATGCTGCTTCTTCTGAGTGTCTCCGATCTGAGCTGGATTTGTGGATCATTCCACCCACTCAGACCGCTCTTGAATCAAGTCATTGGGTTCCTCACAAACCCCTGACCACACTCGACGCGTCCAACACAGTCGAGTTCTCCATACCTGGAGTGGGGCATGAGTACATTGACCCCGCCCACACTCTTTTGTATGTCAAAGCCAAAATTGTGAAAGACAATGGTGCTGATATTACCGCTGCAGACAACAGCGATGCTGCTCCTGTTAATTACGCCCTCCACGCCTTGTGGAGTCAGGTTGACGTGAGTCTTAATCAAAAAGTAATCTCTCATTCAAGCATGACCTACGCCTATCGTGCCTATATCGAATCACTTATGAATTACGACACATCGGCAAAAGATTCTCACATGACTCAGCGTTTGTGGTACCAGGACACGCCTGGACATTTTGATTCTCTTGACGGCGAAGAAAATGTGGGTCTTGCGACGAGGCGGGAGCTCACTGAAAACAGCCGCGCGTTTGAGATGATGGGTCCACTACACGTGGATTTCTTCAATCAGGATCATTTCCTTCTGAATAACGTTGAGCTCAGAGTCAAGCTCACTAAAAACCGAGACGCTTTTGCCCTCATGTCTACGGCTAGAACAGAGCGCATCAAACTTTTGGACGCGACACTCTATGTTCGCAAAGTAGTAGTGTCTCCTTCGGTGCTGTTGGGCCACGCCCAAGCTCTTGAAAAGTCACCTGCTAAATATCCTGTGAATCGAGTTGACATCAAAACAGTCACGATAACACAAGGGCTCCGCGATAAAAATTTAGACAATCTATACATGAACCAACTTCCTCAAAGAATAATTATTGGCTTCGTAGACAACCGAGCCTTCAATGGGGATTACACCTTAAACGGGTTTAATTTCCAGCATTTCAATTTGAATTACCTGAGTCTCATGGTCGACGGCCACCCCGTCCCTTCTCAGCCCTTAACTCCTGATTTTCCTAACGGGCTCTATATGGAAGCGTACAACACTCTGTTCAGTGGCACAGGCCTGCACTGGAAGGACGAGGGCAACAATATTAGTTTCCCCGATTATCCTCTGGGAAATGTACTTTACGCATTTGATTTGTCCCCTGATCTTTCAGCCAGCGAACCTCACTGGAACCTCCACAGGCAGGGAACACTCAGGCTGGAACTCAAGTTCGCAGCACCTCTTGCCCAACCTATAAATTGCATTGTGTATGCCGAATTCCAAAATCTGATTGAGATTGACAAACATCGAAACGTCGTTGTAGATTATAACGTTTGAAAAATTTAGTAAAAAAATATAAAAGATTAAAAACCAAATACAAAAATAAAAAACAATCACTTAAAAAAAAAAAATGGATGGGCTTTCCTTAGATTCGCTCATGAAAAGAGATAAACATGTGGCTCCTATGTTCGAGGGCGTCTTTGCCTCGGACACACTACCACATCGGCTACACAAACGCCCCGCCTTGCTGATTGCCAACACGGATCCTATTTCAAAACCAGGTCAGCATTGGGTTGCTTTCTACATCGGAAAGCACGGCGAGGGTGAATTCTGGGACTCCTATGGCATGCCACCCATCGTCCCGAATCACAAAAAATTTCTGGACCGACTCTGCAAAAAATGGACTTACAATCATGCGAGTTTACAGTCCATTGATTCACAAGTGTGTGGCGAGTACTGTCTGCTGTACTTGATTCACCGCGCACACGGTATTTCACTGCATTCTTTTGTCAAAAAGTTATTTTGTTCCGACACTGAAAAAAACGACAGAGTGGTACACAAAATGTACAAACGCATGTTTGGAAACAAAAAGAATTGCGTGTTAGGACACGACACGAAAGTGCAACGTGCGTGCACAAGAAAAAAATAATTTCTGAACAAAAAAAATTTGTGCTCAAAAAACATTTCCAAACATGAAAAAAAAACTTTTAGTACACAAAAAAATTTTTGGTACACAAAAAAATTTTTGATCCATAAGAAATACACGTGTTTGTACACAAAAAAATTTTTGGTACACAAAAAAGTTTTGTGGTGCATAAAATTTTTTTCTGGAAAACACAAGAAATTTTTCTGGCATTTCTGAAAACATCAAGAAATTTTTCTGGCATTTCTGAAAACATCAAGAAATTTTTCTGGCATTTCTGAAAACACTAGAAATTTTCTGGGCATTTTCTGAAAACGCAAGAATTTTTGGCGCATGCGCACTGCGGTGCTGCGCGGCAGCGCGCTGCAGCGCCACCTCATGGCCTAAATGAGAACGTCTCACTCCAGATAAAAGGTGTGCTCCGCATGCAGGGCCATCATTCAGACGAAAGCAGCCGAGCGCGATGGAGTCACTTTCATTCACTCTCAATGCAAGCAGCGGTAAGGAGCTGGTGGCCCAGCGTAACCCTCTTACCTGCTCTCATGATTATGACAATCTGCAGATACTGAAAAGAGGCCAAGTTCAGGATGTATTCACTATTTTTGAAGTGAGTGATTTTTACTCAGAAAGACACTGGCTTTGCCCCCACATTACGGCCCATCTGTCTGGACAGACCAGTGAACACAATGGACACTATGTAAGATTGCTATCTCATATCATTCATTTCATGCAAGTCAGAGATAAGCGATTCATAATGATAGAAAGAGAAGTCAATTTAAAAGGGGCTGCCCTAGTACACACATACTTCGGCCCAACGTCTTGGTCAGCCTTGTGCAAACATGCCCAAGAAATCATGGCATTCTATCCTCCTGATGAAACTGACTAAACAAATAAAGAAAAAAACAATAAAAAAACAATAAAATAATCACGAAAACCAATAAACAATGAATGTGATTTTCCACCGGTGGTCAGTCTGCTGGACCAGCATGTCCTTAAACCGCCCTAAATCTACGAGACACCGGAGACCGGGGAGCTGGTCTGGCCCCAACACAAAAAACACACCACGGTGGGCAGTGCTGCACTTGCAATTAAAAAGCCAGACCGCACACACCATCTCTAAGCACGGCTTAGTAGCCCAGTGGATAAGTGAGTGTGCTCTACTGCGCTTCTCAGCGCGGAGCCCCTGGTTCGAATCCCACTGGGTGAAGACGCCATTTTTTCCACCTTCGCGGCTCATGAAGTCACAGCGGCGGGTCCAGACTTAGGTAAGGTTGGGTTAGGTTAGCCCCGCTCAAGGTGTCCAAAAGTACCAACCACAGGGGCAGGTCCAGACATGCTTAGGTTCACTTAGGTTAGCCCCTCTCAAGATGATGACCTGCTTAGGTTCACTTAGGTTACCCACGCTCAAGGTGTCCGATTGGGACCTGTGATAGTGACCCGCAACAATACCCCTCCAAGATCATAACTTAGGTTGGGATAGGTTACCCTCGCTCAAGATCATAACTTAGGTTGGGATAGGTTACCCTCGCTCAAGATTGTGACCTGCTGTGACCTGTGATCGTGACCCGCAACAATACCCCTCCAAGATGGCGGCCCGCAACAATACCCCTCCTTTACTAGTGATTTTCTCTAGTTTTTTTCCTTCCCCGGCCTTTTTGCAAGGTCTGAAGTTAGGAAAGCCAGGGTATGAAAAAGGAACAGTTTGTCAGGATTTGCGGGGAAAATGATTTACCTTCTGGGAGAAAAAAAATGAAGACCGCAAAAACCCCCTGGACCTGTTCGGTTTTGTTAGGACGTGGGTCTTCTTTAACCTCTGACCAGGGATAATAAGGCCAGGGGAAAGGGGAAAGGTAATCATCTGCTGGTCACATGGATCGCTGACGAGAAAAAAAAGGGGCGAAAATGACTTAAAAAACGAAATTGGGCGATTTCTGCATGTTTTAAGCAAAAAACGGATTTAAAACGCAGTCTGGCCAAAAAATGATGCAAATCTTTTTTCATGCTCTAAAAAAATGACCAAAGGGTTTGAAGATCAAAAAAAATTGCGGGCTCAGAGCTCGACAGGTTTCTTATATTAAAAACAATACGAAATGCATGCCCCCCGATGGTGGCAAATTGATTTGCACACCTCCATTTCACGTGGTCGGGTTATTTTGGGGTAGGGTAAATAAAAAAGTGGGCAAGGGGCCCATCTCAGCCGTCCGAAACAAGAAAAATATCTCAAAATTGAACATATGTTTTTTTTTGTTTTAGCGAAAACGCTAGCAGAATACTGAAGACGAAGTCTGACAAAAAATTGGTGAAAACGTAAATTTTTTCGCCGTTGAAAAAAAAAGATTTTGCCGTCTCGCTTTTTAAAATCCAATGAAAATTTCAATTAACATGACAATTTTGGGGTTTTAAATACCGTGAAACGGGGTAATTTCGGACACTCGGTGTAATTTCGGACAACTCTGCCCGGAAGCATGGCGATGATGATCCCATCAACGGCCAACTTGGAGGCTTGTCCCGTTGCGCGCATCGCATCGGCCACACTTAAAACCTTCTGATCAATCACCCGGAGGCCAAATCAGGGGGAAACTTTTGGAGAAAGAGTGGTTTTTGTATTTAACCATTTTTACCTAAATTCACTTTATGCGAAAAACTTTGACTGGCAAGCCGAAACTGTTCATGGCCGGTTCATGAGGTGATTGTTTGTCGATTCGATCATGTTAAGAGCATACTGTGTCAAATTTTCATTCACCTGGGTCGAATAGTATGGTTTATATGGGCTCAAAACTGAAAAAATGTTACTTTACGGGGTAATTTCGGACATACAAACGTCACGCCAGGGAGAGTGGGTATGCCCTGAACACTTCCAATTTCGCAGGGTTTGAGTGGTGGACGCTGAAGAGCTCTTCTGAAAGTTGAAGATAATCCAATAACAACGATATTCCCCAAAGCGGTTGCTGTGTAAAACTTCGAATTTCATAAAAATGGGGCAAAGCTACATATTTAATATTTAGTTTTATGTGCATATCCTACGTAAAAGTGTCAACGACTGTTTTGTGATTAATTTTCTTTCATGTGACATGAGAGTTGGACTTGGCGAATGGCTGCATAGGTCGCCGGTTTACTACAATTGAAATGCAAAGTTTTCCACTGAGCCCCTGTATCTTCCTAACCGTACATACGACACGACTACTTGCCCTTCATATGCATGTATGTGATGTAATCTTGTAGAGGAAGATTTAAAATTCACTTTCGCGAAATAAAGTATGGCCCGAGTGGCCTAAGAAAGCTAATAGGTCATAAGATTAAAAAATAGAAGCTCTCTAAATGGCTCTACTATTTCCACCTGAAATCGAACTACATATGAGTGCAAAAACATGCCTTCAAATTGAATGAGCACCCCTACCTTACCTTTACGTCTAAACCCTTACGAATTTCTCATATAATCATGTTAGCACTTTAGAAAGAGACAGTGATCGATTTTGGGACCAAAATCAGAACGAAAAGTCGCTTTTTCCAGGGGTGTCCGAAATTACCCCAAAACACGGGGTAATTTCGGACACTGCTTCGGACCTTCCACTGTAAAATCGGTGAGGTGCAGTTATTTGAAATAAGCGCCAAATCGAAGCTTAAGGTGGGTAGATGATAAATTTTAACCCTCAAGTCCATGACAGCACCACGACTTTCACAATTTCAAAAAAAACCTATCAAAAGTGTCCGAAGTTACCCCGTTTCACGGTAGGTAAAAACAATTTTGAGCTTTTGAGCCGGTAATCGTCTCAGGACAGATCGCAAAAAATAGGGGTTCTTATTTTTCGGTCTAGAATCGATTTCGGAGCGGAATTGGACGATCGGAAAAACTTCGATTTTTTGGGCCACCCTCACGATTATTTCATTTGCGATGCAGAACGCACTTTCAGCGCGATATAAATTTCATCGCTCTTTTCTGTGATGATTATTGCAAAAAGGTGTGATGAGCTGCTGCATCGCAGAATTTTGCAATGATCATTGCAAAAAACTGTATTGAATGCAGATTTTGTGTTGCCATCATCGCATTTTTGTGCAATAATTCCTACTTTCATTGCAGAAATGTGCGATGATCATTGCAAAAATTTTGTGATACAAAAGTCATCGCATCTGGGGAGCAATGATTCGTGGGAATCACATTTTGGATATTATCACACGTTTTTGTGTTGAAAGTATCACAACTTGGATAACAGTGCTAGCCTACTTCCAGTCGAGGTGGGACGTCTGCGCAGCAGCGGCACTTTAATTCCTCGATCTACGGTCCAGGGATTCGTTACATACAAAACAAGAAGGAAAGACATCAAAGAATTGATATCACATGGGAGAGACTCGTTCGTAAAAAAGCTAGATTCATGTGTCAGTAGCTGATCGTTACATGAGTTGTCCTCTGACGATT